GGAGAAGCGAGAGAGACGTGTGGGCTTCCATTCTGCCAACGTCGTCGTCAGTCTCCGTGGTGTAGTGGTAAGACACTCGCCTGGCGTTCCGCGAGCGCTATGTCATGGGTTCGTATCCTGGCCGGGGAGGATTTACTGGGCGCAATTCCTTAACTGTAGCCTCTGTTTAACGCAACAGTAAAATGTGTACTTGGATGAAAAAACGACTCTTCGCGGCAGGGGATCCTATTCCAGGGACCATAGGATTAAGGACTTGCCCGAAACGCTACGCGTACTAGTGGCTGTACAAGAATGTAACAACTCTTGTATATATATCTCAAACGTTACTGTGTTGAGGAACTCCCACTACATCGACTCATATATACGTCATCCTTGCCGCAGCGGGTGCCAGAGTTCGTAGGTGTCTCCATCTACATTCAACACAAGTTCCGGCGAGCGTAATTTTTCAATTTCCTACCGATGTTCATATTAATTAGTGCACTTTTTTAACATTTATGTGTAGGTTGCTCGTCGTCAGATCACGCGATAACACCATCACCAAAGTTAGTTTCAATTTCGCCCAGGCTCCCACTTTTCAATCAGAAATAATGATATATTAACTCTAGCTTAGGCATTTTTTACATTCTAATCGTGATTTCATTTGGAGTTGTAGCATCGAAGGGAAAGAATAATTTTCCATTCCATGTACGTGCTCGGACAGCGTGCTACAACAAGGGTGACGCCGTGACTGCCCCACACGTTTACAACCAATCCAACTGAACAGCTTAGCTGGCCCTATATTTAGTGTACTTTATGATTCTTAGTAGAATACTAATATATAATTATATAATTATATGAATGATTTTCCATTGAAATCGCATTTTACTAATCTTTCATATTTGTCATACATTATTTACTGATATCATTTTATATCATGATTACATATGTGTATGTACTATAATATGATTTAATATTTACATTTCCTTCTGATGAAGAACCAGCATCATATTATTGGTGCTAAGACGTAACGGTATCTTAGGGCTCGTACCACCCATTTTGTGAACGTGAATTTGACTCCTATGTCATATTAACATACAGTCTCATTAAAATCCATAGGACACTAGTTCTTGGAATTAATTTCAATACATTTGCTCTCCTTAGTTTTCCATTTTTCACAAAAAGTGGTGGTCCTTCGAAGCTATTGAAGTTTTCATTATTCAATCCAAATATTTGAATCAGATTTTCCCACATCACCCGAGCTACGAGCATACATATAACCCCCGAGGTCACCCGAGCTACGAGCATACATATGACCCCCGAGGTCACCCGAGCTACGAACATACATGTGACCCCTGAGGTCACCCGAGCTACGAACATACATGTGACCCCTGAGGTCACCCGAGCTACGAGCATACATATAACCCCCGAGGTCACCCGAGCTACGAGCATACATATGACCCCCGAGGTCACCCGAGCTACGAACATACATGTGACCCCCGAGGTCACCCGAGCTACGAACATACATGTGACCCCTGAGGTCACCCGAGCTACGAACATACATGTGACCCCTGAGGTCACCCGAGCTACGAGCATACATATGACCCCCGAGGTCACCCGAGCTACGAGCATACATATGACCCCCGAGGTCACCCGAGCTACGAGCATACATATGACCCCCGAGGTCACCCGAGCTACGAGCATACATATGACCCCCGAGGTCACCCGAGCTACGAGCATACATGTGACCACCGAGGTCACCCGAGCTACGAACATACATGTGACCCCCCGAGCTACGAGCATACATGTGACCCCCCGAGCTACGAGCATACATATGACCCCCGAGGTCATCCGAGCTACGAGCATACATATGACCCCCGAGGTCACCCGAGCTACGAGCATACATATGACCCCCGAGGTCACCCGAGCTACGAGCATACATATGACCCCCGAGGTCACCCGAGCTACGAACAAACATATGACCCCCGAGGTCACCCGAGCTACGAACAAACATATGACCCCCGAGGTCACCCGAGCTACGAACAAACATATGACCCCCGAGGTCACCCGAGCTACGAACATACATATGACCCCCGAGGTCACCCGAGCTACGAGCATACATATGACCCCCGAGGTCACCCGAGCTACGAGCATACATATGACCCCCGAGGTCACCCGAGCTACGAGCATACATATGACCCCCGAGGTCACCCGAGCTACGAGCATACATATGACCCCGAGGTCACCCGAGCTACGAGCATACATATGACCCCCGAGGTCACCCGAGCTACGAACATACATATGACCCCCGAGGTCACCCGAGCTACGAGCATACATGTGACCCCCGAGGTCACCCGAGCTACGAGCATACATATGACCCCCGAGGTCACCCGAGCTACGAGCATACATATGACCCCCGAGGTCACCCGAGCTACGAGCATACATATGACCCCCGAGGTCACCCGAGCTACGAGCATACATATGACCCCCGAGGTCACCCGAGCTACGAACAAACATATGACCCCCGAGGTCACCCGAGCTACGAGCATACATATGACCCCCCGAGGTCACCCGAGCTACGAACAAACATATGACCCCCGAGGTCACCCGAGCTACGAGCATACATATGACCCCCCGAGGTCACCCGAGCTACGAACAAACATATGACCCCCGAGGTCACCCGAGCTACGAGCATACATGTGACCCCCGAGGTCACCCGAGCTACGAGCATACATATGACCCCCGAGGTCACCCGAGCTACGAGCATACATGTGACCCCCGAGGTCACCCGAGCTACGAACTTAACTATAACCCTTTAAATATGAAATTTAATTGGTTGAGTTTATTTATATGTAACTATACACTAGCTTGTTAATGTATGAGTTATACACCAGTTTGCTAATATACAGGTTATACACCAGCTTGCTAATATACCGGTTATACACCAGCTTGCTAATATACAGGTTATACACCAGCTTGCTAATATACAGGTTATACACCAGTTTGCTAATATACAGGTTATACACCAGTTTGCTAATATACAGGTTATACACCAGCTTGCTAATATACCGGTTATACACCAGCTTGCTAATATACAGGTTATACACCAGCTTGCTAATATACAGGTTATACACCAGCTTGCTAATATACAGGTTATACACCAGTTTGCTAATATACAGGTTATACACCAGCTTGCTAATATACAGGTTATACACCAGCTTGCTAATATACAGGTTATACACCAGTTTGCTAATATACAGGTTATACACCAGTTTGCTAATATACAGGTTATACACCAGTTTGCTAATATACAGGTTATACACCAGCTTGCTAATATACAGGTTATACACCAGCTTGCTAATATACAGGTTATACACCAGTTTGCTAATATACAGGTTATACACCAGTTTGCTAATATACAGGTTATACACCAGCTTGCTAATATACAGGTTATACACCAGCTTGCTAATATACAGGTTATACACCAGCTTGCTAATATACAGGTTATACACCAGTTTGCTAATATACAGGTTATACACCAGCTTGCTAATATACAGGTTATACACCAGTTTGCTAATATACAGGTTATACACCAGCTTGCTAATATACAGGTTATACACCAGCTTGCTAATATACAGGTTATACACCAGTTTGCTAATATACAGGTTATACACCAGCTTGCTAATATACAGGTTATACACCAGCTTGCTAATATACAGGTTATACACCAGTTTGCTAATATACAGGTTATACACCAGTTTGCTAATATACAGGTTATTTGCAGGTTATAATATACAGGTTATACACCAGTTATACACCAGCTTGCTAATATACAGGTTATACAGGTTATACACCAGCTTGCTAATATACAGGCTTGCTAATATACAGGTTATACACCAGCTTGCTAATATACAGGTTATACACCAGCTTGCTAATATACAGGTTATACACACAGGTTATACACCAGCTTGCTAATATACAGGTTATACACCAGCTTGCTAATATACAGGTTATACACCAGTTTGCTAATATACAGGTTATACACCAGCTTGCTAATATACAGGTTATACACCAGCTTGCTAATATACAGGTTATACACCAGCTTGCTAATATACAGGTTATACACCAGCTTGCTAATATACAGGTTATACACCAGCTTGCTAATATACAGGTTATACACCAGTTTGATAATATACAGGTTATACACCAGTTTGATAATATACAGGTTATACACCAGTTTGCTAATATACAGGTTATACACCAGCTTGCTAATATACAGGTTATACACCAGTTTGCTAATATACAGGTTATACACCAGTTTGCTAATATACAGGTTATACACCAGCTTGCTAATATACAGGTTATACACCAGTTTGCTAATATACAGGTTATACACCAGCTTGCTAATATACAGGTTATACACCAGTTTGCTAATATACAGGTTATACACCAGCTTGCTAATATACAGGTTATACACCAGTTTGCTAATATACAGGTTATACATCAGTTTGCTAATATACAGGTTATACACCAGCTTGCTAATATACAGGTTATACACCAGCTTGCTAATATACAGGTTATACACCAGTTTGCTAATATACAGGTTATACACCAGCTTGCTAATATACAGGTTATACACCAGCTTGCTAATATACAGGTTATACACCAGCTTGCTAATATACAGGTTATACACCAGCTTGCTAATATACAGGTTATACACCAGCTTGCTAATATACAGGTTATACACCAGCTTGCTAATATACAGGTTATACACCAGTTTGCTAATATACAGGTTATACACCAGTTTGCTAATATACAGGTTATACACCAGCTTGCTAATATACAGGTTATACACCAGCTTGCTAATATACAGGTTATACACCAGCTTGCTAATATACAGGTTATACACCAGCTTGCTAATATACAGGTTATACACCAGCTTGCTAATATACAGGTTATACACCAGCTTGCTAATATACAGGTTATACACCAGCATATTACTACACAAACTAACATTTCTGCAGGAAGATAGACGCCCTGGAGCCCTCAGAGGGAATGATGAACGTCCTTAAGGAGAAGAAAGTTTACTCCAAGACTTACCTGGACCTTATCACCAGCACCCCGACCACCGTCCCTACTGGTGAGTACTTGTCCATCACGGTCAGTACTTGTCCATCACGGTCAGTACTTGTCCATCACGGTCAGTACTTGTCCATCATGGTCAGTACTTGTCCATCATGGTCAGTACTTGTCCATCATGGTCAGTACTTGTCCATCACGGTCAGTACTTGTCCATCATGGTCAGTACTTGTCCATCACGGTCAGTACTTGTCCATCACGGTCAGTACTTGTCCATCACGGTCAGTACTTGTCCATCATGGTCAGTACTTGTCCATCACGGTCAGTACTTGTCCATCATGGTCAGTACTTGTCCATCACGGTCAGTACTTGTCCATCATGGTCAGTACTTGTCCATCACGGTCAGTACTTGTCCATCATGGTCAGTACTTGTCCATCATGGTCAGTACTTGTCCATCACGGTCAGTACTTGTCCATCACGGTCAGTACTTGTCCATCACGGTCAGTACTTGTCCATCACGGTCAGTACTTGTCCATCACGGTCAGTACTTGTCCATCATGGTCAGTACTTGTCCATCACGGTCAGTACTTGTCCATCATGGTCAGTACTTGTCCATCACGGTCAGTACTTGTCCATCATGGTCAGTACTTGTCCATCATGGTCAGTACTTGTCCATCATGGTCAGTACTTGTCCATCACGGTTAGTACTTGTCCATCATGGTCAGTACTTGTCCATCACGGTCAGTACTTGTCCATCACGGTCAGTACTTGTCCATCACGGTCAGTACTTGTCTATCACGGTCAGTACTTGTCCATCATGGTCAGTACTTGTCCATCATGGTGAGAACTTGTCAATCATGGTCAGAATATTCACCCCTTGAGTATCCATTCCCCCCCCCTGGGTATCTACCGCTGAATATCCTTCCCAAGAATATCACATCCCAGAATATCCACTTCCTGGATATCCAGCCCCAGGATATGTAACCCCCTGAGTTTTGAAGATTGTTCACTCAAATAATTTACATGTGATTTAAATTAATTTCTAATTTATATTTAAATATTTCTTCTACTCGCTATTTCATTTTGTAATAAGACAATCGGTAACATAGTTTTAATATATATATATATATATATATATATATATATATATATATATATATATATATATATATATATATATATATATATATATATATATATATATATATATATGTCGTACCTAGTAGCCAAAACGCACTTTTCAGCCTACTATGCAAGGCCCGATTTGCCTAATAAGCCAAGTTTTCATGAATTAATTGTTTTTCGACTACCTAACCTACCTAACCTAACCTAACCTAACATTTTCGGCTACCTAACCTAACCTAACCTAGAAAGATAGGTTAGGTAGGGTTGGTTAGGTTCGGTCATATATCAACGTTAATTTTTACTCCAATAAAAACAAATTGACCTCATACATAATGAAATGGGTAGCTTTATCATTTCATAAGAAAAAAATTAGAGAAAATATATTAATTCAGAAAAACTTGGCTTATTAGGCAAATCGGGCCTTGCATAGTAGGTATAGAAGGGCGTTCTGGCTACTAGGTACGACATATATATATATATATATATATATATATATATATATATATATATATATATATATATATATATATATATATATATATATATATATTATTATTAAATATGACCGAAAAAGTAAGATTAATAATTCTAACACTAATTTTCTCGATCTTTCTTACGTTTCTTTTCACTGTTGATGGTAATTCAAAAATCAATTCTCCAAAATTCCTTTTTATTTCTATTCTGACGCGACACTTGAGCACGTTTCGTAAAACTTATTACATTCTCAAAGACTTTAGTTTACACACACACACAACTTTAACTGAATAGAGCTTAAACATCTTCGAGTTTTTATACCTACATTTGGGTGAGGTGACATGTTACAATAGTTTGGGATGAGGTGAAAATAAACTTTTAACACAAGACAGGACACGAAACAATGGGTATTAAAGGTAGTTAACTGCAGAAGGCCTATTTTTATTGGCCCATATTTCTTGATGCTTCTATATTGGAGCGGAGTCTTGAAGTGGGTAGAATATAGTTGTACATTAATTGGCTGTTGATTGCTGGTGTTGACTTCTTGATGTGTAGTGCCTCGCAGACGTCAAGCCGCCTGCTATCGCTGTATCTATCGATGATTTCTGTGTTGTTTGCTAAGATTTCTCTGGTGATGGTTTGGTTGTGGGAAGAGTGTATATGTTCCTTAATGGATCCCTGTTGCTTATGCATCGTTAAATGCCTGGAAAGAGATGTTGTTGTCTTGCCTATATATTGAGTTTTTTGAGGCTTACAGTCCCCAAGAGGGCATTTGAAGGCATAGACGACGTTGGTCTCTTTTAAAGCGTTCTGCTTTGTGTCTGAAGAGTTTCTCATGAGTAGGCTGGCCGTTTTTTTGGTTTTATAGTAAATTGTCAGTTGTATCTTCTGATTTTTGTCTGTAGGGATAACGTTTCTACTAACAATATCTTTCAGGACCCTTTCCTCCGTTTTATGGGCTGTGGAAAAGAAGTTCCTGTAAAATAGTCTAATAGGGGGTATAGGTGTTGTGTTAGTTGTCTCTTCAGAGGTTGCATGACGTTTCACTTTCCTTCTTATGATGTCTTCCACGAAACCATTGGAGAAGCCGTTGTTGACTAGGACCTGCCTTACCCTACAGAGTTCTTCGACCGTGCTCTCAGCCACAGCTCAGAATGGAAGCAAGTCGACGAAGAACTCTGTAGGGTACACTACACATCAAGAAGTCAACACCAGCAATCAACAGCCAATTAATGCACAACTATATTCTACCCACTTCAAGACTCCGCTCTAATATAGAAGCATCAAGAAATATGGGCCAATAAAAATAGGCCTTCTGCAGTTAACTACCTTTAATACCCATTGTTTCGTGTCCTGTCTTGTGTTAAAAGTTTATTTTCACCTCATCCAAAACTATTGTAACATGTCACCTCACCCAAATGTAAGTATAAAAACTCGAAGATGTTTAAGCTCTATTCAGTTACAGTTGTGAGTGTGTGTGTAAACTAAAGTCTTTGAAAATGTAATAAGTTTTACGAAACGCGCTCAAGTGTCGCGTCAGACTAGAAATAAAAATGAATTTTGGAGAATTGATTTTTGAATTACCATCAACAGTGAAAAGAAACGTAAGAAAGATCGAGAAAATTCGTGTTAGAATTATTAGTCTTACTTTTTCGGTCATATTTAATAATATGTGTCTACAGGAAAGACTATATATATATATATATATATATATATATATATATATATATATATATATATATATATATATATATATATATATATATATATATATATATATATATATATCTTGCGCTATTGGTAGATCTTGTATATGCCATAAGTGTATTTTGGGTGACAGTGTTGGTAATAGGTGTTGACCTTGGTGACCCGGCCAGGTACCTACGACGTGGTGGTGATCTCTGGCGGGATGGGCGACAGCCACATCCCTGTCCAGGGCGTGGATGAGTTCATCCGCGTCGCTAAGCCAGGTGAGTTTTGGTCTATTGGATGGTGAATACATCCAGTATACTGGGGTTTTATTTCCAATACACCAAATACACTTGTGTTGTATTTTGAAGACGCTGTAGACATTAAATGTTCAAAGTAAAAAACGATGGAAACGTCCTCAAGAAAAGAACTAATTTGTGGAGATTTCGTGCATCAGTGCCCTTAGCTAAATGAACTGTGGGGTTCAGTCCCTGAGCCCATTATGTGCATCTGTAACCCTTTCCACTACCGCCCACAAGATGGGTATGAGGTGCATAATAAATGAACTAAACTAAAACTAAACTGCTCGTAGTCGGACCTGGCTTCCTGGTCGACTGATCCAGTACTCTCTTAGTGCTGGCTGCTAGCAATCAAAGATTGACATTCCTCTTAAAAAATAATATCAAGAATCGAACAAATTGACAAAGTGGAATTCCTGAAACTATAGCAACTTCAAGAACAAGAGGACACAGAACAAGAGGACGCTATGGAAACAAAGTTTCTTGTTTGGCAAACAATGGTAGACGGTTGGAACAGGTTAAGTGAGAAGGTGGTGTACAGGCCAAAACCGTCAGTAGTTTCAAAGCGTTATATGGCAAAGAGTACTGGGAAGACGGGACACCACGAGCGTAGCTCTCATCCTGTAACTACACTTAGGTAATTATAGTTGTCCGATGGACCAAATGCCCTTTGGAGGCATTTATCAAACTTCCAACACACACATGTTAATGAGACTCCTGAGGCGCATGGTACCACGGCTCCTGGCCTCTTGAGCTGGCCTCTTGAGCTGGCCTCTTGAGCTGGCCTCTTGAGGAATTATTTAACTGTCAAGATTTGAAAGCAATCGTCTTAATATTTAACAAATATACAGGATGTCTCGGATTGAGCTATTTCTATGAAATCGGACTAATCTATTAAAAATCTACATAATTTCATGGTTTTACTTAATTATGATATAAAAATAGATTTATAAATCATAAATTAAATCTTTATTGAGAACTGTCAACAAGTGCTCTGTCTATATCCCTGCATGTTTCACATCTAACTTGAGCATTCCAAAACAGATTTTGAAGCATATCAGAATTTATGTCCTGCATTGCCAGCTGAATGTGTACTTTAAGTATGCTACAAAAATGTTTTCTATGAACTCCCATGCAAAGAAATCCAGGTGTGTCAAGTCCGGGGAACACGGAGGTCAGGGTCCAGGTCCTTCGCACCTAATCCACTAGTTGGGAAAGCGTGTGAAAATTCTCGGTGAACTAGTGCATAATGGCATGGTGCTCCATCTTGTTGAAACACGTTATCAAGAATACCATCATTAAGGTGTGAAGTATTCTCACCTTATTATATTATTAATAAGTAATAATTATGAGGTAACCACACTTTTGTAACAGCAGTACAACGTTGATACACAGGTGTATACAGTAAAAGTTACGTTGTATGCCGTTGTGTGCCTAAGGAACACTGTTGTGTTCCGCTCTAGAGAACACTCTGGTGTAGCAGTGTTCCGCCCTAGAGAACACACTTGTGTAGGAGTGTTCTGGCATAAAGAACACTCCTGTGTAGTAGTGTTGCAACCTAGAGAATACTCTTGAGTTTGAGTGTTCCGTCCTAGACAACACTCTTATGTAGCAGTGTTCCGCCCTATAGAGAACAAAAATGTCTTGAAAAGTGTGACGAACGAAATTAAAAACTAGTTTGTGAGGTCAATGTTGTCCAGCCTATAATTTGTCCTTGCAGTGGCGACCGTCACTTTGGTGTACTCTTGAAAGTAAGAATTGTTAATCTGATTACTTCCTCATCACTCACAATTTCCTCCCTCTCTGTGGTATTGTTTGGCTGCTTCTTGCATGTAGTTCTTCAGTGGGTAGGAGGGTGCAGCATCTTCCTCAGGTGCTAACTCTGCTCCCGTCCCACAGGTGGTCTGGTGATCATTGTGATGCGGCTGGAGTTCCTGTGGATCACAGAGCAGTACAAGGACAAGCTGGAGCCTTACATGGACCAGCTGGAGAAGCAAGGCGTCTGGCGCAAGGTACAGTTTGCTACCAAACGTTGCATTCTTTTTACGCTAAAATATTGTACACTAATTTAGATATGATGTTCAGTGTTGTATTCAACAGTAAATGTAAAATCTATGAAAGCTGACGTGACAGTATAGTGCAGGATGTCTGAAAGTTGTACAGACTCAATGACAGTATAGTGCAGCATGTCTGAAAGTTGTACAGGATCAGTGACAGTATAGTGCAGCATGTCTGAAAGTTGTACAGACTCAGTGACAGTATAGTGCAGCATGTCTGAAAGTTGTACAGACTCAGTGACAGTATAGTGCAGCATGTCTGAAAGTTGTACAGACTCAGTGACAGTATAGTGCAGCATGTCTGAAAGTTGTACAGACTCAGTGACAGTATAGTGCAGCATGTCTGAAAGTTGTACAGACTCAGTGACAGTATAGTGCAGCATGCCTTTAGGTAAGTTGTTAGCTGATGTTTCTCTTGTTGAAACGAGGCTCTATATTTTGATGGGGATATGGCAGCCTTGATGTTAGTCATGTCCCTGGTGGCTTTTGCTGTGTGATGGCTTCTTGAAGCGGTTGCCAGGATGAGCTCACAATGGAGGAAACTTGGCGAGACTCCTGGCACCCGAGCTCTACTTCACTCCTCTTTTTATAGGAGTTCTAATGGTCAAATTACAGATCAGATTATAGATCAGGGACTTCCCGAGTATTTAGGGGAATTATCACTGGTGATTAGATAAATAGTGTGTGAGGTAATGTCCGTTGAAAATGTGATCAACACCACACACGTGCACACCGCATCAATGTCAACAAAGGATGATTAGGTACTGGACGCTTCTCCCACCGGCGGCGTCTCCCTCCGCTCCAGTGAAGGTGTCGACAATAATTATAGTTTGATTATTTTTATTATTTAGACTGATTATTCTGATAGTTATATAACAAGATAAACACCTAGTGAATTTACAGATTATTAACAGTACTTGATAGTTCAATTTGGCCTTTATTAAGGATTTAAAAATACGTCACTGGAAGGTATTGTTCCAACAATGGATAATTGGATAATTGTTCCAACAATTTTTTATTATTAACTCCTTCTAGAAGCTTTCTAGATTCTTGATGTTACTTGGACTTATTCATATGCATTGAGCCCAATGGTATATTTGACCAAATGGTCATGAAGGCTTCTGATATAGATACAGATGATCCTTAAATCATCAGTAGATATGATTCTGAGGTAAATTATAGATATGATACGGAAACATTACATTCCTTAGATAATATTATGAATATGGTGAGTGGAATTGTAGCTAGTATATTATTGGGATAATCTACTTGCTACAGAATTTTCCACATTACTAACACCTGACATACCAAGCAAAAACAGTTATGGTAGGAACATACTAATATTACTAACTACTAACGTCCTTCAAAGAAAACCGGTTTCAGTAGCTTCTCAAGGAAAATGGGATATTCGCCACGTAACCAAAATATTTATTTACGCTCAACATGTATCCTTAAAACACCAGCCTGGGGATTGAATATGATAAAAAAGTATTCTCCAAGACTGGGCTTGATTAAATCACAAATAAAAATAACATTTGTCACCCCAAGTAAAAAAGGACTACTACAGAACTGACGAGAGACACGTCTCTCGCCGGGTTGAGAGAGACACGTCTCTCGCCGGGTTGGGAGTGACACCATGCCATTGTTGTACGAACACCCACGTAGCCGAGAGGACGGACTTGTACTCTATCCTCTTCTGCTATCTCTACAGACTTCGCTAGCCATTAGGAAGTGTTCTATTTCCGACTGACAGACAAGTAACAGTGCACTTGAGCTGTAGGTCAATTGGTTAAGAAGCAGGCTACTTACTCGAAACGGGTAAGCAGATTAGCTTAAAAATTATCTCCTTCTTGCAATATATATACCTTAAATCATTATTACGTTTGTTACTGTGTATTGAATTCACAGGTAAAACTGAGAGAAAAAAACCGCTGCAATGAATCATTTGGTTCTGCCCATAACTTGTCCTGACGCCATATTGGTTCGACCACAGGCGACGTGGCTCACATGATCAGGACACGTGCATGGCTGGATAACCAAAACATATTCCACATAACAGCTAATCTGTGTTCACTATTGTACTAATCCATTTTAGCTGTAGACTATCCTTTTTACATATTCTATTAATTAATTTATTTGATTGATAAGCTACGAACATGAACTCCCTCAAATATGTTAGTAAGAAAACACCTAGCAGGATAATCTCAGAATATACAGTGCACTTTGAATTAATAACATTAATAACAATCAATTAAATTAAGTTTAATAACTTAATACATAGATAAATGAACAAGTAAGACCCTGCAGGGAAAATTCCCCACAAGCGGTACCATCGTGTGGTGCCGTAGCCCCGAGTTTGGAGGTGAGGGAATGTATAAGAATGTATCAGAGAGAGGACAGGAGAGGGTAGGAATGGAGGTTTAAGGGGTAAAGGGAGGGATCGACTATAAGGGGAGCAAGAGTTGGGTAAGGAGGCAGCTAAGGGAGGGTAAAGGGGTTAGTGTATAATGACATTAGGATAGAGTGGTGACGAACGAAGTGGTGCTATTATCCATTATTTTGTAGACTTCTGCAGTTGTCTCTCAAACCTGATATCTCTAGTACTGATAACATCTGAATCTTAATCAGTCAATTCAGTGTGAAATCAGTGAATACCATGCACTCCTGGATGGAGTGCAAAGTAGACCAGGATGGAGTGCCCAGGTAGGTCAATGCATAATGCCCATGAACTGGGCATTTAATGTTGACCAAAAGGCCTGAACGTTTCACCATTGTTAGGCTTCTCACACTCAAGATGTGACGTTCCATACTCTGGCGACATACTTCATTATGAAACAGTTTCCTCGCTCATGCCATACTCATATCTGTATATTAATTTAGAATAGAAGACTGCTATGACATTGCATGGAACCAAAGTGAGTTTCTGTAGCCCCTAGGGACAGATGTGGTGTACCGTAGCCACAAGGGATAGACCTAGGGTACAGTGGCCCCAAGGGACAGACGTGTGTAGAAATACCTTAAGCAACTCTATCCCTTTGAGACGTATTTTTTTCTTGTCTCAATAAACATACTTGAACTCGATAGACCATTGTTGTTTATATTAAAGTTGTAATGACTCGTTTTCAGATAATAATGTTGACATTTTTACTCAACAGGAAGCGAGGAAGGTTGTGCCAAACTATTACTTCAAAAAGGATGGAGTGGTGTTCATCTATCGTGTTCTGTGAGGAGGAAACAGTGTTTATCTATCGTGTTCTGTGAGGAGGAAACAGTGTTTATCTACCGTGTTCTGTGAGAAGGAACCGGTGTTTATCTATCGCGTCGACCCGTGAGTGACAGGCGACCAACCAACACTTGTGGTTGTTGGAACCGTCCTCCCCAGGAGAAGAGATATGCCTAACTGTTCAATAACCTTTATATCATCGAGGAGAGGCTTCCAACGCACCATTTTAAATCCTCCAGTAAAAGATCCAGACATGATGCTTGAAACGATCGAGTAAAGAAACTCGGATAAATCACTGCGTTCAATATTATTAATAAAACGTGATTTTATATATTGTTGACATTATTATAATTTATGTCACCGCAATAACTGTTGAAGATAATGAGCTCAACATTCAGGAGGCTCGCCTTGCATGTCTTTCTTTTGAGTTTTTTTCTTTGTAAATTACTGTGGATAAGTCCACATTACAATACAAATATTATAATAATTAGAATACAAAGATTAAATTGTAATTTTTGAAGACGTTAACTGTTCTTTGTATTTATTTTCCGGAAATAATTATTTTTTATTTATATATCATGTGACTTCTCAGAATTGTTTTTATTGAAACTTGAATAGTTAATTTCATTTATAATTGTGTTCAGAAGGATACACACAGCTGGAGTGTACCCAGCTTCTCTGTGTATATACACTGTCAGTGTATGTACACCAAGAAGTTGGGTACACTGTCAGTGTATGTACACCAAGAAGTTGGGTACACTGTCATTGTATGTACACCAAGAAGTTGGGTACTTTGTCAGTGTATGTACACCAAGAAACTGGTTACATTGTCAGTGTATGTACACCAAGAAGCTGAGTACACTGTCAGTGTATGTACACCAAGAAGCTCGGTACACAGTGTATGTACACCAAGGAGCTGGGTACACTGCCAGTGTATGTACACCAAGAAGCTGGGTACACAGTGTATGTACACCAAGAAGTTGAGTACACTGTCAGTGTATGTACACCAAGAAGCTGGGTACACAGTTATGTACACCAAGAAGCTGGGTACACAGTTTATGTACACCAAGAAGCTGGGTACACTGTCAGTGTATGTAAACCAAGAAGCTGGGTACATTGACAGTGTATGTACACCAAGAAGTTGGGTACACTGTCAGTGTATGTAAACCAAGAAGCTGGGTACACTGTCAGTGTATGTACACCAAGAAGTTGGGTACACAGTTTATGTACACCAAGAAGCTGGGTACACTGCCAGTGTATGTACACTAAGAAGCTGGGTACACTGTCAGTGTATGTACACCAAGAAGCTGGGTACACTGTAAGTGTACGTACACCAAGAAGCTGGGTACACTGTTAGTGTATGTACACCAAGAAGCTGGGTACACTGTCAGTGTACGTACACCAAGAAGCTGGGTACACTGTTAGTGTATGTACATCAAGAAGCTGGGTACACTGTCAGTGTACGTACAGCAAGAAGCTGGGTACACTGTCAGTGTATGTACACCAAGAAGCTGGGTACACTGTCAGTGTATGTACACCAAGAAGCTGGATACACTGTCAGTGTATGTGCATCAAGAAGCTGGGTACATTGTCAGTGTAAGTACACCAAGAAACTGGGTACACTGTCAGTGTATGTACACCAAGAAGCTGGGTACTTTTCAGTGTAAGTACACTAAGAAGCTGGGTACTTTGTCAGTATATGAACACCAAGCAGCTGGGTATGCTGTCAGTGTATGTACACCAAGAATTTGGGTACACAGTCAGTGTATGTAAACCAAGAAGCTGGATACACAGTGTATGTACACCAAGAAGCTGATTACACTGTCAGTGTATGTACACCAAGAAGTTGGGTACACAGTCAGTGTATGTACACCAAGAAGTTGGGTACACTGTCAGTGTATGTAAACCAAGAAGCTGGGTACACAGTGTATGTACACCAAGAAGCTGGGTACACAGTGTATGTACACCAAGATGCTGGGTACACTGTCAGTGTATGTACACCAAGAAGCTGGGTACACACTCAGTGTATGTACACCAGGAAGCTGGGTACACTGTCAGTGTATGTACACCAAGAAGTTGGGTACACTGTCAGTGAATGTATACCAAGAAGCTTTGAACACACTCAGTGTATGTACACCAAGAAGCTTGGTACACTGTCAGTGTATTTACACCAAGAAGCTGGGTACACACTCAATGTATGTACACCAAGAAGTTGGGTACACAGTCAGTGTATGTACACCAAGAAACTGGGTACACTGTCAGTGTATGTACACCAAGAAGCTGGGTACATTGACAGTGTATGTACACCAAGAAGTTGGGTACACTGTCAGTGTATGTACACCAAGAAGTTGGGTACACTGTCATTGTATGTACAGCAAGAAGTTGGGTACTTTGTCAGTGTATGTATACCAAGAAGCTGGGTACACTGTCAGTGTATGTACACCAAGAAGTTGGGTACTTTGTCAGTGTATGTACACCAAGAAGCTGGGTACACTGTCAGTGCATGTACACCAAGAAGTTGGGTACTTTGTCAGTGTATGTACACCAAGAAGCTGGGTACACTGTCAGTGCATGTACACCAAGAAGTTGGGTACTTTGTCAGTGTATTTACACCAAGAAACTGGGTACATTGTCAGTGTATGTACACCAAGAAGCTGGGTACACTGTCAGTGCATGTACACCAAGAAGTTGGGTACTTTGTCAGTGTATTTACACCAAGAAACTGGGTACATTGTCAGTGTATGTACACCAAGAAACTGGGTACATTGTCAGTGTATGTATACCAAGAATCTGAGTACACTGTCAGTGTATGTACAACCCAAGAAGCTGGGAACACAGTGTATGCACACCAAAAAGTTGAGTACACTGTCAGTGTATGTACACCAAGAAGCTGGGTACACAGTTATGTACACCAAGAAGTTGGGTACACTGTCAATGTATGTACACCAAGAAGCTGGGTACGCTGTCAGTGTATGTACACCAAGAATTTGGGTACACAGTTTATGTACACTAAGAAGTTGGGTACACTGCCAGTGTATGTACACCAAGAAGCTGGGTACACTGTCAGTGTATGTACACCAAAAAGTTGAGTACACTGTCAGTGTATGTACACCAAGAAGCTGGGTACACAGTGTATGTACACCAAGAAGCTGGGTACACTGTCAGTGTATGTACACCAAGAAACTGGGTACACTGTCAGTGTATGTACACCAAGAAGCTGGGTACACTGTCAGTGTACGTACACCAAGAAGCTGGGTACTTTGTCAGTGTAAGTACACTTAGAAGCTGGGTACTTTGTCAGTATATGAACACCAAGAAGCTGGGAACAATGTCAGTGTACGTACACCAAGAAGCTGGGTACACAGTGTATGTACACCAAGAAGCTGGGTACACTGTCAGTGTATGTACACCAACAAGCTGGGTACAATGTCAGTGTATGTACACCAAGAAGCTGGGTACACTGTCAGTGTACGTACACCAAGAAGCTGGGTACTTTGTCAGTGTAAGTACACTAAGAAGCTGGGTACTTTGTCAGTATATGAACACCAAGAAGCTGGGTACAGTGTCAGTGTATGTACACCAAGAAGTTGGGTACACAGTCAGTGTATGTACACCAAGAAGTTGGGTACACTGTCAGTGTATGTAAACCAAGAAGCTGGGTACACAGTGTATGTACACCAAGAAGCTGGGTACACAGTGTATGTACACCAAGAAGCTGGGTACACTGTCAGTGTATGTACACCAAGAAGCTGGGTACACAGTCAGTGTATGTACACCTAGAAGATGGGTACACTGTCAGTGTATGTACACCAAGAAGTTGGGTACTCTGTCAGTGTATGTACACCAAGAAACTGGGTACACTGTCAGTGTATGTACACCAAGAAGCTGGGTACACTATCAGTGTATGTACACCAAGAAACTGGGTACACTATCAGTGTATGTACACCAAGAAGCTGGGTACACTGTCAGTGTATGTACACCAAGATGTTGGGTACACTGTCAGTGAATGTACACCAAGAAGCTTTGTACACACTCAGTGTATGTACACCAAGAGGCTGGGTACACTGTCAGTGTATTTACACCAAGAAGCTGGGTACACACTCAATGTATGTACACCAAGAAGCTGGGTACACAGTCAGTGTATGTACACCAAGAAACTGGGTACACTGTCAGTGTATGTACACCAAGAAACTGGGTACACTGTCAGTGTATGTACACCAAGAAGCTGGGTACATTGACAGTGTATGTACACACCAAGAAGTTGGGTACACTGTTAGTGTATGTACACCAAGAAGTTGGGAACACTGTCATTGTATGTACACCAAGAAGTTGGGTACTTTGTCAGTTTATGTATACCAAGAAGCTGGGTACATTATCAGTGTATGTACACCAAGAAGTTGGGTACTTTGTCTGTGTATGTACACCAAGAAGCTGGGTACACTGTCAGTGCATGTACACAAAGAAGTTGGATACTTTGTTAGTGTTTGTACACCAAGGAACTGGGGACATTGTCAGTGTATGTTCACCAAGAAGGTGGGTACACTGTCAGTGTATGTACACCAAGAAGTTGGGTACACAGTTATGTACACCAAGAAGCTGGGTACACTGTCAGTGTATGTACACCAAGAAGCTGGGTACACTGTCAGTGTATGTACACCAAGAAGCTGGGTACACAGTTTATGTACACCAAGAAGCTGGTACACTGTCAGTGTATGTACACCAAGAAGCTGGGTACATTGACAGTGTATGTACACCAAGAAGTTGGGTACACTGTCAGTGTATGTACACCAAGAAGCTGAGTACACTGTCAGTGTATGTACACCAAGAAGCTGGGTACACAGTGTATGTACACCAAGATGCTGGGTACACTGCCAGTGTATGTAAACCAAGAAGCTGGGTACACAGTGTATGTACACCAAGAAGTTGAGTACACCGTCAGTGTATGTACACCAAGAAGCTGGGTACATAGTTATGTACACCAAGAAGCTGGGTACACTGTCAATATATGTACACCAAGAAGCTGGGTACACTGACAGTGTATGTACACCAAGAAGTTGGGTACACAGTTTATGTACACCAAGAAGCTGGGTACACTGCCAGTGTATGTACACCAAGAAGCTGGGTACACTGTCAGTGTATGTACACCAAGAAGTTGAGTACACTGTCAGTGTATGTACACCAAGAACCTGGGTACACAGTGTATGTACATCAAGAAGCTGGGTACACTGTCAGTGTATGTACACCAAGAAACTGGGTACACTGTCAGTGTATGTACACCAAGAAACTGGGTACACTGTCAGTGTATGTACACCAAGAAGCTGGGTACAATGTCAGTGTACGTACACCAAGAAGCTGGTTACACAGTGTATGTACACCAGGAGAAGCTGGGTACACATGTCAGTGTATGTACACCAGGGGGAAGCTGGGGTACACATGTCAGTGTATGTACACCAGGAAGCTGGGGTACACATGTCAGTGTATGTACACCAAGATGTTGGGTACTCTGTCAGTGTATGTACACCAAGAAA